TTTTCGAGAATTTCCGAAGTCGGCCCGAATCGGAAACTCGTTCCTAGTACTTCTCGGCTGTCCTTTTGGACGGTATGATTTAGGCACAACCCAGGCCACTGGCGTGGAAAAATTGTTTACAAATTACAACGCGTTTTCGTTTCCTTTTCTATTCTGCTTTATTTTTTTCTTCACTCAAACACAAAGAGCACGCGTTAAAGGTAAAAAGAAACACTTGGTCCATAGCGGCGGAAAAAGATTTTTTTTTTTTTATTTTGTAAGGAGAAGGCTATAACAGACTTCGTGGACAAATGTGTGAGATCTGCTGGTGTAAGTAGACCCTTTTAACTCTAAACTTTCACAATTTGTATTTACTAATCACATTGCTATCTTCATATTATAAACTTACACTTAAAAAGTAACTTCATTTCATTCACTTGAAAACGAGTCAAGAACAGAGATAAGACGCGAACCATTTATACGAGCTGTTTTCGTCTTAGATAAGACATGCTCGTATAAATGGTCCAGTTCGCGTCTTATTTTTCCTCGTATAAATGGCCCTAATAAGTTGAGTAGAGAAGAACAGCAGCTTTAAAAAGCTGTAACTTAGTACCAGTGGGTAACAAGTTTCTGAGTCGCATCAGGACTCCTAAGTGCTGACTGCTTTTCTTATAGATTATACTTATGTGATCATGAAAACGAAGTTACCTGTCCATTGATACCCAAAGTAGTTTTAAGCAGTCAGTAGATACTACAACAATTACTACAACTTCATTTTCGATTACTATATTAATATTGTTGCCTGGCTTGCTACCAAGCAGGACGACTATCTGCAGCATGCGTTATCTGGGGAAAGTGTAGCCTGCGTGGCAGGCGTTTGGAAGGAAAGGGAAAGGGAGTTTTAGGCGCGAGAGAAACGCGAGGGCCAAGGCGCGCGAGGAGGAAGGGAACCTCCTTCCCTCCCTCCCTCCTCGCGCTCCCCTCGCGACAGATAGTGAGTACAAAGTATAATAAAAGCGGTTATCAGTACGTCTCAAGCCCAGTTTGGTGACCAATTCACACATGTGGGTCGTAGTGGGTGAATTTGGGTAAATTTTCGTGACACGCCTCCTTTTATATTTGGCTCGTGCATGCGTTGTTGCATTTTTTAGGAGTGTACAAAATCATGATGGTGGAGCAATGCGGTCACCCTCCCTCCCGGCTGGGCGGGTCAACCTTCAAGCGGGGCCAACTTTTTGTTTTTCACGTAAACAGTTCACCACATTTTGTAAGGAAATGTCCCTTCTATTCATGACAACGTTTCTCCATATAAACGGGCTTTGGGAAAAGAGTAGCTGCTTGGGTCTACATCGAGGCCTGTGCCTACCCACATGGCTACACCCAGCTGCATCCAAACCTTGCATCAACTGAACTGAACAACCGTCAGATAGCCTGAGAAAACAGCCGACATTTTTCAACACCATCACTGGTTTCCCTGTGAAATGACGTCTGAGAAATGACTGCGGAAATTTCATACTGTTGAGTTGCCAATACCCAGATCTGGGTAGTGCTTCTGATTGGTCGTGAGCCGAGGGAAAATTGCAATCAGAAGCATTACTCAGATCTGTCGCCGGTAGGAAATTTCGGCAGTCATTTCCAAATGTCATTTTGCGGAGAAACTAGTGGTGGTTTGGCTGTTTTCTCAAGCGACCATTTAGATTGTTGTCGCAAATCAAAATCTTGACGATAGAAGCCAAGGAAAAGGTCTCAGCTTACCCTGGATTCCACAACACGAGAAAACTTGTTGACAACCAAGTGCAGAACTCAGTTTTATTTATTTTAAAGTTTCAAAATCAGTTGGTTAAACAACTGACGGCAAAGAACGTACAATAATGAACAAAAGCTACAACAGAAAGTTACGTTATACCTAAGTCTGGTTTAACACAGCAACAAGCTAATCATAAGTAGCTTTTGTTACCTAATGAACAAGCATAATTCATAACACTTGACCTGCACCATTCTAAATCAGCTCTATGGTCTGCTATGAGCACCTCTGTTTCGAATGTTTGTCCTTCCTCAGAGCGGAGGGCAAGCGCCCGAAAGCAGGGCGGATATACCTTTTTGGGCCCTGCTCCAAACATCAGCTTTTAAAGGTTCTTCTCGGTGGTGACTTGATTTTATAAACTCAATGCATGAAACTTTTTTTTTGTGAGTTGGTCTCTCTCACCGATGCAACACCACAGATTGTGTTGAAACTATAAATTCCCTCAACCACATTATCATTTTAAACTGAACCAACGAATCACAGAGATGCACATTTTCATGTGCATTTCATGAGGAAAAAACATTCCTTTGAACTCGATAACCAACCAAAGAGCCACTTTTGAGTTGTGCAGGGCATCGCGTTGAATGCATTTTCTTAGTCATTTGGTTAAAAATAAAAAGGCATAAAATACTTTATATAAGCCGTTCGCAAAAGTGTTGATGCACACACGCGCGAGTCCACCTGGTCTCGATTTCTTCGATCCTTTCCAGCAGTCTGCGCTAGGTCCGTGCGTGATTTAATGCCTGTTGCCAAAATGAAGGAATGTTCATGTCTCCCCGCATGGCTGAAGACCTTTATTAAACTCTCCACCTGGCGGATATTTGCGTGTGTACAGACTCTTGCAAAACATACAGTAATAGGCAACTTCTGAGTTCCAAAAGCCCTCACCTTCAAAATGAGGCCAAGTGCATCACTTTTCTTGTGAAAATGAGTGTTATTGGCATAAATCATTTCCATATCAAAGGCTGAGCACTTAACTTCGTTTTTATACAGAGACCCAGGTAACTCAGAAATTAAATGGCCTATTGCAAACTACAAACCTTGAATTACCTTTATTAAAATGCCTACAAAATTTCCTATGACATTATGCAATATACTTAGCTAAGAAATATTGTATAGTAATGAACAAGTTTCAAAGTGTCGAAGCTTCAACTCTTAGGCTCAGTGGGGGTGCAAGATTCCATTTTGTTCTTTGCTTTTTTCCATTCTAATTTTTCTTACACAGGAACTGAGCCTGAAAGCTGAAGCAAAAGACACTGCAAATTCCAACTATAAAATGGAAACAAAATTTATCGTAGTGCTGGTTGTACAACCGGCGGCGAGGCTTACTTGTTGACTATTTACATACCGTATTTATTCAAATAAGCGCCCATCCTAAAGGCAGAAAAAGTTATTAAGTGCCCAACCTCGAATAAGCGCCCACCACCTAACATCCATCCAGCAAGCTGTATCTGCTTCTCGGGCACCTAACCCATTTGCTGGCTTTACGATGTCGGACATCCAGGAGGCTGCACCAGAGAATTCACTTACTGACTTCCTTAAAGACGTAGTTTTCTTCAGAGTAGTTTACAGAAACCTTGCTTTGATGTTGTTTTGTTACAAAATAAACATAACTACAGTTGCTGAAAATGGTGAAAATTCAATAAACGCCCACTCTCAAGGTCCAAAAATTTAATACGCGCTCAGGGCGGTTAATGGAATAAATACGGTACTCCTTTTTTATATTTGGGTCAAGATGACGAGATTGAATGGGGACCCTCCATGTAAGAACGCCTAATTTTGAGCTGAGACTGAGCCAAGACTGAACTTGCTGATTTTTGAGGCGATTTGAGCCTCAAAACGTTCTTAGATGTTTTTAAATTACATTTTGTAAACATTGTATGGACGACTTTTAATTCACCTCGTGTTTTGAGAGGCCAATAGTGACCTCAGGAGAGGCAACAGTGCACATAATGTTCAGCCAAACATGTACAGCAGTCTTTACAGCAATTTTTCTATATTCCTCACGTTGAAAATGGTGGAATCGACAATGTTTTAGACTGAACTTCAGCCCTGGCTTTGCTCTGCTTTTAGGATATTCTTAAAAAGGTTTCTATAAAACAGGAGTAAGCGTGGCTTAGCACCAGGACGCCGAGGACTGATCAGGAATGTAATTAGTTTAGCCAGGAATTAACACAGGACCAGTTCATGAGCTTTGGCCCTGCTCTTTACTACTAATTTCTACATCAAGCGCCCAAATTTCCCTAACTTTTTCGTTGGCAGAAGTACCTAGGATTCTTCTCCTAAAAAAGCGAGCTTCAGAATAAAACGTCAGTGGAATAAAGCATGCTGTACAGTCTCTAACGTCCTGTAAAGCTATCCACGCTGCCTCGTTAAGCCTTGAGACTTAAGGGTCCTAACACTAGAAGTGATATACAATTAAGCTGTTTACAGTTGCTTTTTCTATCCCTGGTTTTCCCTTGTTCGAACACCGTGTTCTCACGTCAACTTAAATATGACCTGAATTTTCATATTTCAGTTAAACGCGATGTGACATTAAAAATGCCGACTAACGAAATTTACTTTTCTGGTAAAACCATCGGGTAACAAAAGAGAATTAAACTAATGACTATAATTAGTCAACTAACATGCCGTAAAGCTGGACAGGTATTTTACTATAAAGCTGAGAAAACAGCCGATGTTTCGCGGGGCCATTGATGGTTTCTCCTTGTATTTCATGGTGTTCAAGAACCTTACTTAACCTTACTTAAGGTAAGTGGTTGTTTGCCTCTAGGAAAATCAAAATAAACCCAGTGGCGGATCCAGAGGGAGGGGACTTAATGACTTAAAATTAACGAAATCTGGACAAAAGTATATTCTATCACTTAACTCAAGAGACGAATGCTCCAAAGCTGAGCACTGCACGATTAGAATATCACGGTTATCTGATAATAGTAAGCTGCAGCTCTGTTTCTCTTGGCGTGTTATCTATACTGGTGCTACTATTAATGTTACCTGTCTTACCTACCCACAGAGACCCTAAAGTGAAAGAAGAAGTCTTGGTCCCCAGCGGAGCGGACGGATAAGGGCGCGAGGGATGATGGGAAGTAAAGAAGAGGGGAAACTGGATCGAAGGATGCGGAGGAGCTCAAATTGCGTTACATTAAAGTCATATCGTCATAAACAAACAAACAACAACAATGAAAAGCACAAAGTCAAAAGCTCAGGGTACAGTTCTTTATGTGGTTGTTTCATAGAATACTTCGATATCTGTTGGCGTGAATCTGGAGCTTCCAGCATAGAATGTACAGTTAGGACCAGATAAAGAATACCCTGGGGGGAGGGGGTAGTGACCGCCACAATAAGTACGAGACACCTGGTTACTAGCAGCGTTGTTTGATATGCGAATATCTTTCCAGCCAAATCTTGGTCCAGATGAATCACACCTGGCTACAGCTTGATTGTACCTAGCAGGCTTGACTCGCAGCTTAACGGGATTGTACACAGCGTGTCCAGAACCGTTGTTATTGGTCAGTGAGTAGATAAAGGCTTTACTTGAAGATCCTGTGGAACAAAGACCTGGGAGATAATAACGACATTTTACAATTCTTACTGACCTTACTAAAGGCGCTCATAAAAAATTAACTTCTAGGAATATTCAATTATCCGGACCTCAGTTTAAAATAGTGAGTGCAAGTCCAGCTTGACATACAAAGATTCCTAGACAAATCATGCATTACTGTAATTTTTAAAATTTGCTGTATTTGTGTAAATTTTTCACTATTCCTAAAAAAGTGTCATGAGCCACACATCCATTTGTTGTCTTGCTGAGTGCAGTAATGACACTGTAGTGACTTTGAAATTACTGGGGGAGGAGCAAATTATTCTAGAAAATTAGGCAGTTTTAATGCAGTAACAAACTACTATGAGCAGAAAGGGAGCTCTCCCTAAACTGGAATCCCTCAGTGTTAGTAGAAAAGAGCAGGGTTTTTGTCCTGAAAAGAGATTTATGCAAACTAGAATCGTAACTAAATTCAGATCTATCGAATTATGACAGAACCTGAAACCTACTTGAAGTCCATAAAATACAAATGACAGACGGTATCACACATGCATCTAATACATTTTTTTTTTCAACCTCTGCATGGCTGAACCACTTGATTCCGTGTTTCATTTAGCTTTTAAAGGTAATTTTGGTCATGAATGTTCATGGATGTGATTACAACATTAGCTTTTTACAATGGAAAAATTTTCCTTTTTATCCTCCTGACTACCGTGACCCGGGGGGTAGTTCTTAAGCCACACTTTGCTTCATTAAAAAGAGTCCGCACTACATAGTTAGAGAACTTTAAAGATAATTTAGTAAAATTAGGCTGGTACCAGAGGCGTCCTCTCCTGTGGAGTGGCCCCTTGATGGGTTTTTGTAAGGACAGGGCGAAACCAAATTTTGCAAGATTTTGTTTATTGATGTTGTGATTTAAACCTGAAATCAACGATAAAAAAGTAAATTGACGTTTCGATGGTTTCATGTCATCATTATCAAAAGATATGAAATTAACATGATTCGTGGAAGTATATATTATCGTTAAAAATGAAGACATGAAGACAAGCATCTTTTTTATCACTGACTTTTGTTTTAAAATGTATTTCAAAATCGATTCTTATAAGATTTAAACCCGACCGGATAATTTATTTCAATTTGTGAATTAGAGAAAAACAAACTTCTGGTAGTTGTATTCAAGTGACGTCATCATGAAAATGCCCAATTCTGATTGCTGAGGAATTACTTTCTCGCCTTGAGTTGAACTTAAACAGAAAAACATCAAGCCAAAAGCCGCTGTACTATTTTATCGTTCTTTATTGTTAGCAAGCAAAATAAACAATTCCTGATTCTCCTAGTACATGTACTCACGCGGTGGGCTTTTCCAGGTTACGGCACTGTATCCACCAAATATAAAACTGCCGACTTGAATGATAGTTACAGTGGGTCCCTTGTCATCACAGTTGCCGTGGAACGTAGACGCCGCCCAGCCGTCCTCTTTAGCGTGCCAACACCTCACAAACCTACTACGGACTGAGCTATTGATCACGGGCTCCAAAAACAACGTCAAATTCTGCAAGTATCTACTGTCGTTGCCAAGAATAGTTGATGCATTAAAACCACCTTAAAAAAGAAATCTTTGGTTCATATCTTTGGTATGATCGCACGCAGAAAAGCGCATCAAACCAGCAAATTATAGCACTCAGCGTAGCTGTGCACGGATAGTCATGCCAAAGGTATATGAGACTCTCTATGGCGAAGTCGCGACAATCGCTGGATGAAACGACAATCTTAGAGATTAAGCCACCGTCCACATGTATCCGGATATTTTTAAATCCGCAACTTTTTCTTTGCGGATCCCGGCTTCCGTCCACGCGTATCCGGTGAATCCAGCAGCAGACGAATCCGCTACTTTCTGAATCCGCTCCCCAGGGAGGAAATTTTTAAATATGTTATAAATCCGGAATCGTGTGGACGATCAGTCTGAATTGTCACAAGTCGCCATCTCCTAACCCGTGGGGGGCGCGGGGAAGAGAGACCCGACAGGTTAAGGGGTGGAGACGTATGACATTTTAGACTAGTGGGCGCTAAATCCGGATAGTTTCTTATACAGTATCGTTTTGCCCAGTTCTTTACCGTAAATATTCAAGACGGTGCCCAGCGCAATAGTATCGCTTCTTTACTTCTTGCACTTCAGTTTCAAGTCTTACAACGTGTGTGCAGTTAAACCTACAATCAGGGACAAAAGTAGTTGACGCACTTGTCTAAAAAGGTTGCTTTTATCAACAATTTCATTTATTATTTAACTCTATTTAAACACCGTAAATCCCCCTACCCCCGAATCAATGTTGTTTGTAGATAAAGAAAGAATTGAGGGTCTAAAACACAACATTGGCTTAGGGGTGGGAGTACACAGGGGAAGGGGATAGGTATGTCCACTGTTCAAAAGCGGGGCATTTTATAGAAGTGTCTCAACACGTTTGTGCCTCATTGTAGCTATGATTTCTGTACACTTCAATTATGCCAAACGGCGGTTTGACATTTTGAAGCTTCTTTCCATGTAGGACGAACGGATTGGATGCCGTAAACAAGTTAAACGAGTGAAATATAGTGCTTGATGGGACATTTTTATCAGCGAAACAGACTGGCAGTAAAATTTTCGCTTGAGGCGAAGATCGCTTTATTGCAAATTAGCTGACGAACTGAGAGTGAATCCGGATGCGTGTGGACGGGCAAATTCGACTTGAATACGGACACGTGTGGACGTCTGGAGGGGGGCTAAAGGTACGATCGCACTGCCATTTCGATAAAGTTTGAGAACGTCACTCGTGCGACAATGGCAAGGAAATTTGCAAGGAAATTTTCTGTTTATCAGTGCGGAAACCTGTTGCATGTTTTTTTTATTTTCACGTTACCTTCGCCGTCATCGTGGTTGTTCGAGCTCCCCAGTAGCGTTAACATGCAAAACAACTATTGATATGCGACGATTTCGCTGAAAAGTCGACGATTTGATGAGAAAAGGGCGACGAAAACGACGTCCGCAGTTACTCGCCAACAGAGAGGCTCGTATACGAAAACAGTTAAATTTATTATCATGAATGCTTGCTACAATTCTTACTAAATACTGGGGTTCATTTGCCTTCAAGAATCCTCCTCGTGAGGTTGATCTCTGCGTTTAGGTCCCCCACCTCTTCTGCATATATACAGTCACTAATCCAAATCTGCTCTACAGGTAGAAAGCCTGTAATCTTTCCCCGGTATATTACGAATCAACAGTTGCTCTAAGCCTCTATTTCCAAGCGACGCTAAGTGCGATATGAAAATGATTTTTTATTCTCATGCAAATAAAAGTCATCTACACAAGAAAGATTTTGCACTCAGCCTCATTTTGAAAGTGATAATTCGGAGATGACCTATTTTTGTGAAAGGTTTGAACCCAGGGAATGACCCATTTTTATAACGACCAGCTCCCAGATGCTTGCTCGATTAGTTAGAGCGCTGCCCCGGTATCGCATAGGTCAAGAGTTTGAATCCGATACAAGCCTGAATTTTTTTTCAGGCCTTTCTTTCGCACCTGCATGAAGGGTGGACGCGTAATTTTCACGTGCGTGTAAACACACGTAAATTTTACTCGCGTAAATGAGGGCCTGTTTACATGGAGGTGGGGGACCCCAGGTAAATGAAGTAACGCGCTTAGGTGGCGTAAAAAAAAAACCCTCCTTTATATGCAATGTTACAACCCCGCCATCCCGGGGTGCACTTTCTCAGGATTATTGAATGGTCGCTAAGCACGCAAACAAGGAAAAATGTTAGCAAACCACGTGTTTTGGCGATTAATGCTCTTCTACACTCAGTTGCTGCTCTTGCTGAAACCTTCAGTGGTGTGGCTCTCTATTGTTACCTTTAATAATGATGCAAAGCCACCGCCAAAGTGAATTTTGCGGAAATTTGATGTATTACGAATCCGACCCAGGCCAGGCGGGTTACCCCACCTTGAAACGTTTACATGGCAAAATTTGACCCCGGCTGGGAGGGTAACCGATCTGGCAGACCGGGCTACCCGCTTTGACGGGTCACCCCACCTATCATGTAAACGTGATCAAATTAAAATGAGGGATTATATTGGATAGGGGGGTTCCCCCACCTACGCGGGTTACCTCACCTACCTGAGGTCCCCCACCTCCATGTAAACAGGCCCTAAAATAGAGACAAGGTACGCAGCCCTGTTGCACTTAAACGTGAAGTTGGGCGAAGTTCAACTTTTACTTTTACACGCGATCCTTCATACATTGCCTCTCTTTTATTTGCGAATGTAATTACATTTTTCTGCTCGTACACACGTAAAAATTACCCGACAGTGGAAATCACCCTATAAAAAGCCTAAAGCAGTTGTTGCCTTCTCTAAACGTCATTAGGACCCAAGGCGCAGTACCAACTAATGGCCGGTTCACATGGACGTGGGGGACCCCAGAAAAGGTTAGGTAACATGCGGCAGGTCACCCCACCTATCATGGAAACATGATCAAATTAAAATGAGAGATTATATGGACAGGCGGGTTACCCCACCTAAGCGGGACTCGTCACCTACCTGGGGTCCCCAACCACCATGTAAACAAGCCCTAAGCCATCAACCCCCCATTCTCCTCCAACTTTCACTCGAATCATTTTATATTTCTCGGCTTAATACTACACTCACGTGTTTTAATGCACTTTTTCCCATATCCATTATATGGTGGGTTGCAAACACAGCCATAGGATCCCGGTATGTTTGTACAGTTTGCATTAGCGTCGCAGTCATGTAAGTTGTCACCACATTCATCAACATCTGAAAAAACAAATGCCAGAATTACACATAAACCTACCTCCTACACTGGAATCCCAGAAAATTTAAAAAGATGAAGTTCAAAGAGCAATTCAAAGGCTGCTTCCGTAAGATCGTTGAGATCAAGTGCTTACCGCTGTAACAATTAAGGGACCATCTTCATGGTTTTAAATGTAGGTATAACTACGAAAAGAGTATCAAAGGGAGCTATAAGCCCCGACCCTATAATGCGCGTAAACAAGATCCAGGAAATCTGTATCATTTCGGTCTGTAAAAGGACCTAAAGGGCTAACTGAAGGATTTTATGGCAGTGAAAAAGTCGAAAAAATTTCGCTCAGGGCGGAGCTTCCCAGGATAAAACTTTGCATGCTGCGGAATCCCCCCACTGCCCTTCCCCGCTCCAACCCCTCGGGCACAGATAATTTTTAACCCTGACAATGTTGATTATTTCTTAGCAAGCAACATTCACTTGCTCTCCATTTTTGGGTGGGATACGCCTTCGTTTTTGTAAGGAAGGATCTCGAAGCTGCGAGCCACGGTAAGTTTCTAGTTTACCAGCTGGCGATTCCTTGTATGAGAGAACAGTTTACGTGGATGTATTTCCAGTTTGTTTCTGCCCGAAAAGTATTCTTTGTGGTGCAGTCAAGCGAAAACGGGACTGGATATGTCTGCGTTTGCTGGCCACATAATCACCTGCTTCGCAGCGTTCTCCCGTGTAACCAGACTGGCATTCGCAAAGGAACTTCTTGTCTGTATATCCAAGAAAACACTTTCCATTGTTCAAGCAAGGTTTGTGTACACAAATATT